GCCCCTTAAAAATCCAGACAAGTCCAGGTGCCTGGGTGACTCAGTCGGTTAAGCGCCCGACTCTTCAATTTCTGCTCAGGTCATGATCTCACGGTTTGTGAGTTTGAGCCCTGCGTCCGGCAGAGAAGAGCCTGCTTGGGATTCTCTCTCTCCCTCTCTGCCTGCTCCTCCCCTGCTCTCTCTCTCTCTGTCTCTGTCTCTCTGTCTCTCAAAAAATAAACTTAAAAATTTTTTTAAAAACTCCAGACAAGTCCTCCGGGGACTTCTGCACACTCTGTCTATCCTTGTGGCTACGTTAGGTGCAAACTGTGTTTACTGAATTATTTCAGTTTGGGGATTCTCCGTTCCTTCTGCTCATGGGGTTCCTGACACGCATCATACCACGGAACCCAGTCCTCTTCTTTAACTATTACCAGTTGCCGAATCCTCCTCTCTGGGAAGGCTCGGTTTGCCCGCCCTGTCCTGAACCTGGGAGCTGCTTCCCGAAAGCACAGTTCTTTCTTCTTTGTGGTGTCTGCCTCCTGCCCAGACGAGGGCAGGCCCTCCCTGAGGGCTCTGTCACCAGTCCAGCTGCTGGTCTGTCTCACAGAGTGCCGAGAACCCTGTGGGACTGACAGAACGCGTACAAGTTCCTTTTGTAGATGTGTTGTTGGTGGTGGTGAACATGGAGTTTATTCACGCAAACATGTATTTCTTGGACGATCAACGTATTCTAGGCATGTGAATTCTTCTTCTTTGTGTGGAAGCGGGTCCAGGTTTCCTGTAAGCCGGAAGCTTATACAAGTTTTGGGGGCTCTATTTAAGAAAAAGAATATAGGGGCGCCTGGGTGGCTGGGTCGGTGAAGCATCTGACTTCGGCTCAGGTCGTGATCTCGCGGTCCGTGGGTTCGAGCCCCGCGTCGGGCTCTGTGCTGACAGCTCAGAGCCTGGAGCCTGCTTCGGATTCTGTGTCTCCCTCTCTCTGCTCCTCCCCTGTTCATGCTCTGTCTCTCTCTGTCTCAAAAATAAATAAACATTAAAAAAAAATTTTTTTTTAAAAAAAGAAAGAAAAGAATATAAAATTGGCATCAAAGTAAATTTTGATTTGTAACAAGAAATCAAAATAAATGTAAAGATTTTAAATACTGTGACCATTACAAAATCTGAGGAAATAATATATAAATTTTTATTTTATTGCTATTTAGTTATTATTTATCGCTATTTTTAATAGAATTTATTGTCAAATTGGCTTATATACAACACCCAGTGCTCATCCCAGCAAGTGCCCTCCTCAATGCCCATCACCCACTTTTCCCTCTCCCTCACCCCCCATCCACCCTTAGTCTGTTCTCTGTATTTAAGAGTCTCTCATGGTTTCCCTCCCTCCCTCCCTGTTTGTAACTATTTTTCCCCCCTTCCCTCCCCCCATGGTCTTCTGTTAAGTTTCTCAGGATCCACATGAGAGTGAAGACATATAGTATCTGTCTTCCTCTGCCTGACTTATTTCACTTAGCATACGCGCGGACGCTGGTTGGCAAAGGTGTGGCGTCCAGTCACGCGGAGCAGGTGCACAGGTGGGGCGCCCTGGGCGCCCAGGCTGGGAGAGTGTGCGGGAGTCTGGTGAGGAAGGAGGTGGGAAACGGCACGAGATGGTTGCTGCTGGATCGGTAAACCCACGCAAGCAGAGGGAGGGTGGTGTGGGGACTGCTGGCGGCCGGGCGGACAAAACCCTGGTTTGAGTCCTGGCCACGCCACTGACCGGCCGTGATACCTGCTGTCGGCACACGCGGGTGACCGCGGCCCACACGCCCAGACCTGCACGCGGTGAGCCCCTGACCCAGCTTCCCCTAACCAGCGCCCGACGCCTCGCCATCCAGCCAGAGGGGCAGGGGGACAGTGGGGAGTCACAGCGGGAGGTGAGGGTCGCAGCAGGTGGCGGCTGTCCTTCCCTTCTCACCCGGGCCCGCTTTTGTGTCGTCCCTTCCAGGGGAGTGGGCGGATGACCGAAGACAGGGTTACGGCGTCTACTACTACGTCAATAACGACACCTACACCGGAGAGTGGTTTGCTCACCAAAGGTGCGCGTTTTCCCCTCAGCTCGGTAGACCTACTTACGTAATGAGAACAGGATGCTGTCTTATTAAGAAGCAGAATCATGATAAAAGCCCACTAGCCTGCTCTTGCCAGGCAGTTCAAACCCCTCACGGCTTTAAGGTGAGCACGCCGGGTGGCACGTCACGGGGCAGGTGCACGTTGTGGGGAGGGTATGTGGTCTTTCGTCCGAGAGCCCCGGGGGACAAGGAGGGCACAGAAGAACCCTCCTGGGGACACGGCCACCGCTCCCGGGAGCGCTGCCTCTTCCCCGCGTGGACCGGCCGAGCTGCGGGAAGGTCGTCCTTGCGCAGCCGGCGATGCCCCTCCCGCGAGCGGGCACACAGGGCAGGAGCGCACTTGGACGGGGCGCAGACAAGCCACATAGAGGCCACGCCCAATTTTAACGTCTGTCTCAGAAACGCGGGCGGTTTTCCCCATGTCGGAACAAAGCGCACTGCGCTCTCTGTCTTCACCAGGCACGGGCAAGGCACCTACTTCTACGCCGAGACGGGCAGTAAGTACGTAGGCACCTGGGTGAACGGACAGCAGGAGGGCATGGCCGAGCTCATTCACCTGAACCACAGGTACCAGGGCAAGTTCTTGAACAAAAACGTAAGTCACTGGGCAGCAACGTGTGCCCCCTCCCCCCATCTGTGTACATACGTGAAGGAAGAACCCGAAAATCTCAGGGAGTCCTCCCGCCCCCTCCCAGTACAGGGAGCAGGTGGCCGTGCCTCTCCCCGGGCCTCTGGTGCCTACAGAGGGCAGCGTGGAGGGGGGCAGAGTAGAGAGCGAAATCCTCCCTCCCCCCCAGCAGCGATCCAGCCAATCCTTGTAACACGGGGGCATCCTTCCTCTCCTACGTGCTCCCCGTCACGGCTACACTGGACGTGAAGCATCTCCTGCGGTTGCGCGTGCGGGTGTCTGGACTTTCTTTGCCCCGGGAGGCCCGGCGCCAGAGCCCTGGGGAGGCCGAGCCGTGCGTGAGCTTGCTTCCTGCAGGCTAGGCCACCCGCCCTGGGCCTGGACTCGGGCGTGCCCGCGTTCAGTCTGCGGTGCTGGCGACAGCTCATTTCTGTCTGGAGGGCTCCGCGGCTTTGCCGAGCCCTGGTGGGGATACAGAGAAGCCCCGGCTAATTCAGCACCCACCGCGCTGCCATCCCCCGTGGCTTCGAGCAGGCGCTGGGCAGAAACTCTCCCTGAAGAGTTTCCCGAGCAAATTCAAGGTGTTGGAAGTTGACGTGGGGAACATTTAACTGATTTCAGTGAGCCGCCTCAGACTCTCTTAAAACTCAGTTTTCAGTTTCGTATCGTTCATGCCCTAACTTTCCAGATTCTCCTTTCCAGTGTTTGTAAAACAGCACATTTCCCCCAAATCTATATGCTGCATATATGTAATTATACGGAATCCCCGGCAAAATTCTCTTAGGACATTTTTTGGCATGGGGAGGTATGTGGAGGGAAAGAGAAGTCGGCAGGAGTTAATCAGGAAGAATCAGCGAGGCTAGATGAGCCTGGAGGACAAGGGCTTTGTTCTGCCAGGTAGTGAAAGTGTGCTAGAAACACAGGAGTTCAGCTGACCCTTGAACAGTGCGGGGTCAGGGGCGCTGACCCCCACACAGTCAAAGATGCACAGACAGCTTTCGACTCTCCCAAAACGTGACTGCTAACAGCCTGGTGTCGGCTGGACGCCTTACCAGTGACACAAACAGTCGATTAACACACACTTTGTACGTCGTAGGTATTACACACTGTATTCTTACAATAAAGTAGCTAGAGGAAAGGACACGTTATTAAGAAAATCATAAGGGAGAGGGGCGCCTGGGTGGCTCAGTCGGTGGCACGTCCGACTCTCGGTTTCAGCTCGGTTTCGTGGTCTCGCATTTCGTGGGTTCGAGCCCCACGTTGGGCTCTAAGCTGACAGCGCAGAGCCTGCTCGGGTCTCTCTCTCCCTCTCTCTCTGCCCCTCCCCCGCTTGTGCTGTCTCCGTCTCTCTCAAAGTAAGTAAATAAACTAAAAAAAAAATTAAAAAAAAGAAAACCGCAAGGAAGAGAAGATACATTTACAGCGCTTTCCTGTATTTATTGAAAAATATCCTCGTGTAAGTGGACTCGTGCAGCCCAAACCCACATTATTCAAGGGTCAGCTGCCCATTCCAGTTGTAGGGCACCCAGACACGTGGCCCCCTCTGCTGCCCACCTGAGTTCCAGCCTCCAGCCCTCCCTTCTTCCCCTGCTTCTTCTCCCGGGGCCGTGTGACCCCCACCCCCCACGTCTTTCTGTGCAACCCACATGCACACACTTACATACGTGGGAAAACATTACATCAGGACATGGAAACATACACTTTTGCGCATTTGGGGATATCCGCGTAGGTTAGACCCTGCAATCGTGGAGTCCACAAATATTGACATTTTAAGTTGTGATCGATGCTGCCAACTTCCCTCCAAAGCTGTGCCAGTTTGCACTCCCGCCAACGGCAGTCTTTAACTTTTTTGCAAATCCGATGGATAAAAAAATATTTTCACGTTGTTTTAATGCGCTTTTCCCCGATTCCTAGTGAAGTCCAGCAACCTTACACCCTTTTGCTACTGGCTTGACTTTTCCTCAGAGAATCACCTGTTCCAACCCTTGCCGGCAAATTGTTAAAACAAATTTAAAGCTGTGATAAATGAAACCGAGATACGTGAATGGAGAAATACAGATCAGTGGCGTGGATTAGAGAGTCCGGGGACAGATTCAAGTGCCTACAGTAATCTAGCTCCGGAAAAGGGCGTCGTTTTAAGTCAGTGAGGACCCGACAGGGACAAGTGAAAGAGTGGTCCCAGGACCCTTGATAACCACTGGGGGTGGGGCAGGGAAGCAATGTCAGGGTTCCCCCTCTAGCATTGGATGGAGACATGCGAGGACAGGAAGAAAGGTTTAAACGTGAACAAAGTCACAGAAAAAAAAAAGGCGAATGTTTATTAACTTTGAAATGAGGAGAGAGGACTCTGTAAACAGAAATAGAAAAGGAAAACCAAATAGAGCTGGTTGATAAAAATAACCCCTTATAGAGTAGAATGCACTATAAAGAAAATTTAAGAGGGGCGCCTGGGTGGCTCAGTCGGTTGAGTGTCCGGCTTTGGCTCAGGTCATGATCTCATGGTCCGTGGGTTCGAGCCCCGCGTCGGGCTCTGTGCTAACAGCTCAGAGCCTGGAGCCTGCTTTAAATTCTGTGTCTCCCTTTCTCTCTGCTCCTCCCCTGCTTGTGCTCTCTCTCTCTCTCTCTCTCTCTCAAAAATAAATAAACATTACAAAAATTTTAAAAAAATTTAAGAGATACACGACCAATGGGGTTAGGGTATTTGTAACATTAATATAAATATAAAGCACTTATATCAATCAATGTGATTTAAGTGGCCAAAAAATGTTGAAAAAACATTCAACCCTACTAATAGCTTAAAAATGTGACTTCATGGTGAGATCCTGTTTTCTATATGTTAAAAAAAAATGTAAAAGTATGTTAAAAAAAAATCTAAAAGTAGAACAAAATGTTAATGCCCAGGAAAAAACAAGGGTTTGAGGACAAGGTGTTCTTGAGTGCTGTTGTGGGAAGGGACATTATTGGAGCCTCATTCTGGTCAATATATTTAAAAAAATACGTGTGTCCATATCTTTTGTGTGTAAATATGTGCACAGTGTATGTGCATGCGTGCGCGTGCTGTTGCCCAGAAATTCCACTTCTGGAAACTTCCCCGCGGAAAATGTCAAGAGGGGACATAAGATGTGACTCTGCTTATGTTTCCTGCAGTGGCCTTTGTCCAAGACTAGTATCGGCACACCAAATATTAGCGGAGTAAATGGGTGAAATAGACTATAATAACTCTTTTTTTAATAGTTTTTTTAATGTTTATTTATTTTTGAGAGGAGGGAGGGGCAGAGAGAGAGGGACAGGCAGAGAGAGAGGCCCTCTACTTGGCAATTCCGGGCGCCACGAGTACAAAAAGGCTTTC